GTGATAGCTTTTAGCCTAACAGTTACACTTTCAAAGACTTTGAAAACAAGCTCTATAATTTAGCCCCGGAAATGAGTTAAGAAACCGCAAAACTTTACACCAGGAGTCTAGAAATTCTAAGTATTTTTAAAGGAGCAGAAGCTTGTCATTCATAGTCAAATGAAACACAAAAATCCCACCGAAGTATGTTTGCAAAGAAAAAAAAGGAGTAAGAAGAAAAACCTAATCAAGTGGGAAATATAGAATGAATATATTTGTCAACCTGTTAAAACAGACATTATTGAAAAGGCTGAGAAATTAGCCATGTAAATGCAAAATATTGGATTTGCCTGAAGACATTTTTGTGACTGAATGAATAGACTATAGGATAGCCCATGAAAGACAGAAAGTTTAGTGCATTTTTTTAAGAGAACAGAATGAAACCAATTTTGCCAGAGGATAAGACCCTCTATGATAGTTTAGAAAGTAAAAAGCCCCATTTATTGTGTTCACCCTGTGCCTGGCACTGTGCCAAGCATCGTATGTGTTTTAACATATTAAATCCTTATAAAAATCCAGTGTCATGTGATGCTATTATATGCTTATTTTACAGCTGAGGAAATTGAGACTCAGAGAGGTTAGGTAACTCACTCAAGGTCACACAGCCAGAGAGTGTTGGAGCAGGGATTTGAAGCCAGAGCTGTTGAATTCTGCACTCCCACTGCAACACATGTGCACACACACAGGCACATGCTTCATGCTCCAGCTTCCCCAAATTTCTGCCCATCATTCTCTAAATACAGCCGGATATTTCAGCCTATGGTTTGGGACGCCCTTATCCTCACCACCATGGACTGGTAAACGCCTACCACCTATATTTCAAGGCTCAGTTCAAGCGTCGTTAGACGTGGAAATCTTTCGGATGCGCAGCCATCCACCACCACCCTCTCCCTCACGCTTTCTTTTGCTCTCCCCCACAGCAGACTGCATCCTCCTCTCTGAGTTGTAAGTTCTGTGAGGACCAGAATTATTTCCGCCTTGGAAAGCTCAGCAGTCCTAGGAGCCAGGTCACTCCTAACTCGGGGAAGACGTACAGCCATTGTTTGCTAAACAAGTAGAGAAGGAACTGACTCCCCCTTGCCCTGGGCCGTCTTTATTCTCCACCCCAGCGGTCCTCATTTGGGGGTGCTTTTACCTCTCAGGGGACCTTTGGCAATGTCTAGAGACAATGTGGTTGTCATAACTTAGGGGATGCTGCTCGCCTCTAATGGTGGAGGCCAGGGATGCTGCTAAACATCCCACAGTGCACAGAACGGCCCCTCACACAACGGAGAGTCATCTGGCCCAGGACGTCAGTAGTATCGAGGCTGAGAGACCCTGATGTGCGCCTTCCGTCTCAGCAGCTACAACACCTCCATTATCTTCCGTAATGGACTCTAAGCTGCTATGGGCAAGGACCAGGATCACTGTGTCTTTTTAAACCCAGCACCCAACATACAGGATGAATGAATGAATGAGTGGATGAGTGGATGAGGGGGATGCAGAAGTGGCAAAGCCAGGCTGAAACTCAATGTACACAAGGAGTAATGAAAACCACGTGAGATCGGGCAGCTGAACTGAGGACTTGAGTTTGGGGCCGCGTATTAGCTGTGTGGAGATGTTTTCATGATGCATCATTGAGATTGGCCCCCAAAAGCCCAGAAGAAAAGAAAAAGGTCAAACCAAAGCACTAACTAAGGGTTTTGTTTTGTCAGACACAGCCCTGGAGAACTGCGTTCTTGTTAGCTCTTTCTGCGTCGATATCTTGGTGAGATTCTTAAGGTTATTAGGGCGAAATCCTATGGTTGCTCATAACTAACTATCCGTTTACGTTCTGTGGCTCGGGAGAGAGAGATTGTGTACCTACCTAAACTCTAAATGATAACACAGATGTTCCAGTGGGTCAAGTCAAGTGTCACATGCAGGTCTTTTAGCATTAAACACGAGTAGAGGTATTTTAGGAGAAACAAGAGTTATTCAAAGGAAAATCTACAGAAGAGACTCGGATTATTAGTTAAACGGAAGCAGACAAGGGAGAAATATGAATGCTATGAGAATAAGAAAAACAGCTCTTAATTAATTGTACAGACTTTAAAATTCTCAAAGTGTTTTCAAATTCACTGTCATATCTGATGTTCATAATGATGCTGTGAAGCGAGTATCGTCCCTACTTTATAGAGGAAATACAGAGTCAGAGGAGTTAGGCTGAAGGTGCCCTCAAAGTCCAGACTCCAGGAGACTGTGCCCTGGAAGGTCTAATGGGAGCCAGCTCAGCATCAGAATGGCCATGGACCGTCAGGAGCCCCGGATGGATGGAGCCATCCTGCTCTTCTTGGGCAGTGGGCACCTCAAGGCCATTTCAGCAAAAACAGCCCAGGCACCCTGGCAAAGCCAGAAAATGTAAGTGATGGTTTTCAAGCACACTGTTTCACTGGGTGATATTCAAACAGCCAATCAGAAGAGGACAGGCGGTTTATGAAAAGATATTTGTTAACTGCAAAGTTGGCTGTGAGATCTAGGAGACGAGTGGAGCGTTCTTTGGGGCCGGTTGAGCGCGGAGAAGGCGGGAGACCGCCGACGGGCTTGCAGCAAGCTCTGTCTCCTGGTGCTGAATTGACTGACTGCTAGGGCTTTGTGTTCATAATTCTTCCCGGGAAGAAAAGGCAACAAAGAGTGGTCTGTTCATTTGGGGTTTTGTCTGTTGTTTTTTATAACAATTGGGACTTTCACAAAGAATAGGCAAAGTATATGTTCCTGCCCAAATGGACAGAATATTCAAGATTATCGTGAGCCTGTATTTGTCTGGCTGCTTTTAGCTCAGAATTCTCGAATCATACCATAAATTCTTGGTATTATAGAAAAGAATGATAGAGATGGTTAGAATATGAATTTAGGCAAGAAAAATAGCCCTTGATATTTGCTCCTGCTTGATGTAGAAATTGATGCTGACATCTCTGCAAAGATGCATTTGCATGTGTTTAACGAAACAACTTTGCACTTTGATCTCAGCCCGTGATGGTGATGATTATAAACGTATGAGCTTTTGGTGGTCATTTTTCATCAAGAGCAACTGCACCACCTAAGCAAAGCAGGAAGCTATAAAATTAAAACTAGGAATCATATCCTGGGGAAATGGGGGGAAGTTTCTAGAAGTCAGTGAATCGCAGTTTTCTGTCTTCTCTTCCAGTCCCCCTTCACCCTTTTAGCAGCTCACTGATGTGAGCTCCGCAGCATATTAGAAGACGTGGTCCTGCTCTTGGTCGGCAGATGGACAAGTTCAGCTAGAGAGAGGCAGAGAGGGGCAGACCAGAACTGTAACCTGGATTTCTGACTCCTCAACTGGGCACTGGTCTGAGTAGTGGAAGAGGAACCATATGCTCTGAATTTAAATACACAAAACAGTCTTCTGTTCCCAGTTTCTAGTGGTTGAGTGCCATTTTCCCCAAGACTTAAGAGGCCAGTACAGCTGTCTTCCCACCAGAGTTATCAGTGTGTTATCAGAGACAGCTAAGATTCCGTGGACCTTGCGCACCTATGGCCACGTAGACCTGAGGCCCTCAGTACCTGTCCAAGGGAACAGGTATGTGATGTGGCCCAGTGAGGCCGCTGGTGGTGAGGCCTGGTTCTGATTCAGGTCACCTTACAACACAGGTGACACCTGCCCGCAGGTGTGCTATAACAAAAATATTCCACATGGGGCATGCAGAGCGCCCGTGTAGAGAGGATAGTCAGCAAAAGCTCATCAACAGCAAGAGATTGTTGAGAATAGTGTGCATGTGCTTGCCAGGGGAGGAGACTCAGCCGGGGCTTTCGGAGGCACTTCTGCCCCACCTGCAAAATGCATGCATGCGACACTCAAGAAGACAAGCAGATTCTCCAGGAGGGCTGAGGGAAGTCAAGTGCAAGGAAATGGCTGAGAGGCTGAGAGGGTTTGAGCTGATCTGCCATCAAGAGGCGTAATGAGGAATGACTGAGGCTGGACTCATAAGAGCTGCGACAATTCTATCTGACTGAGGGCCCAGCACCGCCCAAACTGCTTGCTGTCTTCAGTCTGCTCGTTCCCTCTGATGTCAAATAAGCCTCATTCCCCATGGCTCTCTGGAAGGGTGGCGATGGCCTGAATCACGGACACATCAGTAGGGTCCTCTGGTTCCTTCTCTCTCGTGGTCTAGAGCCTTCTGTGCCCATCCTAAGACGAATCAGACCCTCTTGTCCACTGCACACCCGAGTCCTCCATCCTTCGAGCCAGACACACTGGTCACTGTGGGGATGAGGGGACTCTCCCCAGGCCCCCCCATCTCCCGGGATTTTCTAAGGAAGCATTGGCCCCTCGCCTTTAGCCCTTCCCTCGCGACTCGAGGACAGCCTTCCTCCTCCAGGAAAATGGCTCCACCATCTTCTCATGAAATGGCTCCCAGGCGACATGACTTACAAGACTTTCACTGATTGCTTCTGAGCTTAAATTTTAAGAGTTTTAAAATATGAGTGTGAATATATAAATATGCACATCTATAGATAAACATATATGTCTGCTGTTATCGAAGAGGAGCTGAAAGTTATAATGAAAGGCATTCTTTGGTGGGAGGGAAAGGAAGTTAGAACAGTATTTTGCCTTGGGGACAACACGCTCGGTTCTGCATAGATGCTCTTTGGTTAAAGCTCGCCTTCCCAGCGCCATCTCGGGAACAGGAGCAGAGGTTGCTCTCCAGCCTCATGGATGAGGAGGTTCAGAGGGCCAAGGCTGTGGGTTTGTGAAGACAGCACCCCAAGCATCTCTCTCCCCACCCCAAAGGATTGCCAGCCACTGGCCTCCCCCATCTGTTTTGTAGCAAAGCTGTAACGCTCCTTATCTCTCTGGGCCAATACATCACATTGACGCAGACATCAGAAATTCCCATGGTTTTGTGTGGTTTTAACAAAGAGGGCAGGAAACAGGATTACTGCTGGGGTTCTAACCTGGTTTTTCTTTTCCTCTCACACAGGGGCGCATCTGTAGAAAAGCCGGCAAATCAAAAAAATCCTTCAGTCGCAAGGAAGCAGAAGCGACCTTTAAGAGTTTGGTGAAGACTCATGAAAAGTACGGTTGGGTCACCCCTCCCGTCTCTGATGGCTGATGTTTGCAACGTTCATTAGACGCTTAAGCCGCCTCTCCACACACACAGATACCCGACATCTTCTCCTCAACGCTGAGCATCCTCCATCCTTTTTTACTCCAGCCAGAACTGAATCCTGAATGCCAAGGAGACGTTTAAGTTATTTATGAACAGACGTGTTTACAGAGAGAAAGAGGGAGCCAACGCTGTTCGGGATTAGGTTTCGATTATAAATGAATGATCATCTCTAAGTCACTTTAGAACAAATGTTGAGATGGTGACATGTCCCCGCCTGCCTGCCCCTCTGCCCGCCCCAGTCACATCGCCCTGAGCTTCTTTCCATGACAGCAGCTCCAAAGAGCGGGCAGGAAACTCAACGCCTGCTGTTCGACCCATCTACATGTAAATGGCGCCGTTCATATTTGATAGGAACGCCCCACATAGCCGGTACATGTTTGCTGTGCTCTGTATCCCTGTTTCTCTTCCTGGCAGGTCAACATAACTTGAAGACGTGTGTCTTTCTGTGGCCCCATGTGACGACATGTAGACCTCATTTGTGCTATGACTTTTGGCTCATGAAAACAAAAATTTAATATTGCCAGGTTCTGGTGATTTAAAACAACAACTGCCCACTTGGTTAAAATGTGCTCTCTCTGCTGATGTTGCGGTGCGCGGCTGTCCACAGAGAAACCAGCGCCCTTTGATGAAAGGCAGGGGGTGCTGTGGCCACCATGGGGCACACGACGGTGCAGACGCCAGGTGCGCGCTCCCTGGGGCTCAGAGCACCGGAGGGTCAAATGTGGACAGTTTCCTCCGATGTTCTGAAATGCTCCTATGACTACATACATCGTGTTCCTGTCTTCTCTCCGCTGGTCAACCCGCCACCAAAAGCAAAAGACAATTTCCCATTCACTGAAGTCATCTGACTCATTTTATTCTATGTGCTAGGGAATGCCAGAACTGCCAAAGGGTACCAAGTGATCGTACGACGATTTGCATGACCGGGTTTATTTCTTTACCCAGTAGTCACTTGTGTGTCCCCTGAGGCTGGGATGCGTGAGCCCCCTCACCGTGATATAAACCTCCTGTTATTTAATCTCCACACAGTTTCATTTCTCTCTTCTGTTAAGTTACTTAGAACTTTCTAAGAAACTCCATGAGATGAGGAAATACTGTTTATAATAATATGCGGAAAGAGGTAAAAATGTTCATTCCAAGTGGAAAATCTTATTGGACACATTTTAAATAAAATCGTGCATACCTGAGACACTGCCTCAAGAATCCAATCATTGTGGGCTATCCTTCCATTCAAAATATTTAATCTATTTTAAAAATTTAGTATTTCAAGTCCCACCAATACCATGATAGCATTCTGCAGGAAGGTACAGGAAATGAGTCTTAGGAACTCATGGTCTTTGCAAAAAGCCAGTGGATTAAAACCGTTCCCAGATGTGACCAGGGAGACAATTAGAAATTAACCGAAATCATTAAGGGATGATTTGGCCAAATCCAAATGTTGCCAACTTTATTTTACCACTATGAAGGAAAAAAAATTCTTCTTTGCTGATTATAGAAAATTCTTCAGGCAGTTTTGGCTACTTGGGGACCTGTTCCAGTATTGTCAGAGATCTGAGAGACCTCACCTCAAAGGATGGGAGTCGGCTCCTCCCAGCACGATGGGCCATTCACCAAATCTGCCCTTTATTGATGCTTTTATTTTTTTTACCACTTTCTTATGTGCCCCAAATACACAGGCAGCTCTGTCCAGCCAAAATGGCAGTGTACTGAGAATGCATGACTTCCTGCTTATGTTCCCTCTGAGTAATAAGGGTCATGAAATTTGATGACAATGAACTTAAAGCGTTCACTCATCTGATTCTCTGTGGCAGAATTCTCCATCCTGGAAACCTGGCATTTAGCAGATGGTCTTGGACCCTCATGCTGTTCATCATAATGGAATTACACGTGGGCATTAAAGAGCTAAGACAGAAATAGTTTGCTATGGAAAGCACCTGAGTTTACTTCTTTCCAAATATTTTCCTTGTCTAATGTAAAATTAAAAGCAACTTTCTTTTAGGAAACATAGGCATATATTTGGAGTTACAGAGCAAAGCTGGGTCACTTCAGTGCTGTTTCTTGGAGCTGGTTGGAGAGCTTGTCCACAGGCTGCCCCACTCAAGGTGCAGCCGGGAGATGTTATAATCCGCAGGGATACTCGGTTACAGCCGACAGCAACGGGGGAGATATTTGGCTCCATTTCCACCTCTCCATACACCCTGAAATCGATTTCTTTCACATGGTATTTCCATTAGGCTTGTTAGAAACTAGAAGTTATAGAAGAAATCTATTCTTTAGTGAAATGCCATTTTTTCATTTAAATGGGTAAGAATTTCTCATTTTAAAAGCAGTGGGGAATAATTTATAACTCAACTGTTGCTTTGACTCTTAGTTGGAAGCAAGAACTCCCTTCCTCGTGGCTGGAGGTGTCACAGGCAAGCACGGGGTATTGTCAAACAGCCAGGCCTGGCTGTGGACGTGCCCCCATGACTCCCATGGGTGGGTCCTGCCTGCAGTCTCGTCCCTCCTCTGAAGTGGGCACCTGCCTCCGGAGCCCCGTGTGGGAGGGAGGCTCGCCCAAGAGCCAGCAAGCCTGCCGGCTGAGGTCATGTTCCCACGCAGGCTGAGAAATCATCCCTCTTCAGACAGACAGCAGGGAAGGAGTCAGACGAGGGTGCCGATGTCCTCGTCCCTCCAGCTCCACACCCTCACTGATCTGCAGGAACCCAAGTCCAGCCAGAAGCCACAGAACCAAAGGAAGAAAAAGCTACAGACACACGTGTGCTTTCTTTCCATCGGTGCAAAACTCCTTCCTGTCCACCCGTTTTCCTGGCCTGGTCGCCCCTCCTCTTTGCTGTCCCCTCCACTGTGGGTAAGAACCGCACGCGGGTTATTGGCTCACTTTCTGAAGACGAACAATTGCTTATGCCCTAGGAAGTTCCACATGAGCAGCAAGGCGATTGCCCCAGGTCCCCACACACCTACACACATGCACACACGCAAAGTCCTTAGAAGATTCACAATCTCTAAAATCCATTACTCAGAGGAAACAGGGTTTAGGCCTAAATTTTCCAGTTCCCAAAATTCACTCCATCTAACAAAACTCAACTTTACTTTTTGAGAGGAAAATATGTGGACTAGTGAAAAAAGCCTGGGATAGAAAGACAATTGCCCACTATGTCTGTTGGACTCTGGCAGCTCATTTCATCTGCTTGAGCCTCAGTTTCCCTGGCTGTAAATTCCTATGGGATCGGTGTGGGAATTGACCAAAACTATGAAGGAAAGTACTTGGGAAACCAAAAGTTGTCATAGGAAATTTACATGTCGTTTTTATAGTACTGGGAAATTTCTATTACAACAACAGGCTTTAATTAGAACACACTTGGATAAAGGCTCAGATTGAACAATTACAGTGGTTCAAAAACAATGACCTTGTAATCGTATACCAGCTTTCTGTCCCCATCCCCCTTAAGTCGATCAACCAAACTTTATTGACCATCTCCCCACTCACTCAGATACAGAGAATGTGGACGTTTAAGACGTGTCTCCTTCCCTGGAGGAACTCATAAGACGAGAATAACACCCAAGAACAAGCAACAAGTGAGTCGAGATGAAAGATAACTAAATGCCGAATTGCACTGCAGAAAGTGCAGACTCTGTGCAGACCCAGAGTTTTCCTGATTGGTAACCAGGGAAGATTTCACTGAGTAAGTCAGGTTTGAGGTATGGTTGGGCGAGAGGGAAGAGGACAGTGTGGAGAAGGGGAAGGGCTGAGGACGCCCGGGTAGAGGGACGCCCGGGTAGAGGGCATGGTCTCATCCACACTGGGCCTGGAGGGGAGGCTGGCAGCTCCTTGCCACTTCTCACCTGTGGGGGCCCTGTCCGTAGATCTGATTTCAGGAGGCAGTAAGCAGTCCAACCTCACAGGCTCCCATGGCGTGTGGGGCTGGCCTCTTACCTAAGAGCCATATTTCAGTGTTTTGCCTGAACCTTTCGAACAGCGTGCAAAATTTTAATGGGATTTGCTTCCTACAGAGGCAGAGCTTCCTTCCCAACTAGAGTGAAGGTAGAACCATTGAATCCGGGAGCCCACTTAGTCTACCTTTATACACTCACTCTATAGTGGGAAAACAAGCCCAGAGAGGTTGAGTGTCTTTTCCAAAGTCAACTGGAGGGCTGAAGCCAAGGCCCCTGTCTTGCTGGTGCTTTCTGATCCCTCATGATGCTTCCCACAGACCATTTGGCAATTCACATGGTCCACATCCCAGCACACACTTCTCAGCCCACCACTGGGGCAGTAGAGCCACAGGTCCGTCTTCCAAGCTGGCTAGGAACCACCAAAGATGATCCCTTACGTGTCAAACGCAAGTTGGTGCAAAGGGCAGAGTTTCCACTCCTGACTGCTTCGGGGAACTGTAGCAAGGGGCTTGGAGCTCAGCTCACGTGATCACAATCAATAGTTCTTTTTCTTCAAAGACAGTAAATAATTTGCAGCTCCATTCCTTAGCTTTATGCTATGTTCTACCTTATCTTTCTGATTTTTGCAGCCTCCAGTTTACATAGTATTGAGTATCGTTCACCCTAGGGCCATCCGACTCTCACAAGACGTGGCCAACGGACTGGAAAAGTCAAACAAACACTGGGAAGGCAATAAGCCACGTCAGCTTGGTTCCAGAAGAAGCACAGGGGCAAAGTGTGCCTGCCAAGGAGACATGATCAAGACAGAGTATTGGAACTGAATGTAGATCCAAGGGGAAGCAATGTTTGCTTTCAAGGTCACAGCAGGGCTAGACAAATAGCAGAGTGGACTGGGGAAGTTGGGCTCCGAGGTCATCCTCTGGAGTCGGTAAGGCAGCATGTAGTGAGGGAAAAAATTCTCGCACTGCTTCCCACTGCGAATTCACCCTGCTTCTCCTGCAGAGTTGAAGAAGGATGCTTCCCATTTCTTCTCCTGGAGGTAAATTAAGTGGCCGTCCTACTTTGTAGACAAACAGTCACTTTGTGTCTCTAGATCTTGAGAAAGCCCTAGTGTTGACACTGATAGAGCTAAAATAGAGCTGCTGTAACCTGAAGTGCTTGCTCTCAGTCCTGCTTGCCTCCTCTGCTGACGTGGTTTTATTTCATGGACGTTGTTGCCGTTATGACCACGGCAGGGTGCTGATCTGTATGCAATGGGCTACTGGAAACTTGCAGACTATCACCAAAATTCAAATTGAGGCTTTGGTGTATACTCTTGCCAAAGTTGTCCTAGTCTGTGATCCTCAAAAGGAGAGGGGGTAAAATTGCATGTGCCATAAAATAAACAGGGAAGAAATGTTGACAGTTGGAAGCCAATGAATGCATGAGTCCAATAATCTAGCGGCACTGTCCCAATGAGAAAAACAGTGATTCTGAAAAGCAAGATTTTAGAACCAATAAATGTGTTTCTATGGAATGTTTGTTGCGTCCTTGCACGGTCTGTGTTCGGTATTTGTCAGGATTTCTCTGGATTTCCGTATGTTTTATTCTCTGTGGCCCATTGTGAGTAGCTTTGTGTCGTGTGGTATCCTCTGATCTTCTGTGCTTTGATTTATTTGTGGTTTGCCAAATGAAAACTTTGAAGCATGTCATGGGTATTCTCTATAAAAATCAATGAAATGTAACTGAACCAAATCTAATTAAGCTCAGTGTGATCTGGAAGATTTCTCCTTCCGCTGCCATTTGCATTATAAAGATTTGTAAACATGTTTGCCAAAGATTCCCATTAAAGTTTCTCCGCATAATTGAAATTGTGTGCTTAGCACAATACTGTAGCCTTATCTGATGCTGAATTACAGAGACTCTTCTCTGCAAAGCCCTTAGAGAGTAGTAATTCCGGAAAGTGACGATTTTCACAGATCCTAAGCTCAATTTATTTAAAGGGTACTTCAGCTAACCTCACACTAGTAAATAAGTTGACTTTCAGTTTTTATTTTAAACTGTTTATCAGAGGAATTTCTCGGTCCTTGTGTCAATATTTGAGATCATTTTCTGATCAAGACTACATTTTTCTTTTAAAATCTGAACATGTGGCTATTTTGTTTGTTTGTTTGTTTGTTTGTTTGTTTGTAAAGATTGGCACCTGAACTAACATCTGTTGCCAATCTTCTTTTTTTCTTCTTCTTCTTCTCCCCAAAGCCCCGCAGTACATGGTTGCATATTCTAGTTGTAGGTCCTTCTAGTTGTGTTATGTGGGACGCCGCCTCAGCATGGCCTGATTAGCAGTGCTAGGTCAATACCCAGGATCTGAACTGGTAAAACACTGGGCCGCCAAAGCAAAGCTCGCGAACTTAACCACTTGGCCATGGGGCCGGCCCGGAAATGTGACTATTTTGATATCAAATAGACGCAAGCCTTGGAGTCAGTCGGTCTTGAATCCCCTCTGCCTCTTATCCATGTGAATAAGGAACTTCGCCTCCCAGACACTTGGTTTCCAGCTCCCAAACTAAACCTAGGAAGTCACTGTTTACTTTTGAGGCTTTATGTAGGACACATGGAGCCCCATGCCTAGCGTGTAACTGATACTCAAAACATTATTTTGGAAATAACAATGAGACTGACCTGGCACAGCCGAGTCAACAGCTTGAGTTGGCTGTTAGGATCTGCTTTAGTCTGTTCGTTTCACCCCAGGGGAACCTGCCTCCTTTCCTTTGGACGAAGGCACCAAAGATCCTCCATCAACAGGGCGTTGACTCTGGATTTCTCTTGAGCGATGGAAATGGGTGGTTGCCCAATCACACATTCTCCCCAGAGTGGATCCCACCCCAGCTGGGTAGGAGCATTGACTGCAGTAGCTTGGGTAATGTGTGTCCAGGGACATAGTTTTCTTAAGGCAAAAGTAAAAGGGGCCAGCCCGCTGGCATAGTACTTAAGCTGGTGCACTCTGCTTCAGCTGCCTGGGGTTCACAGGTTCAGATCCCAAGCATGGACCTACACACAGCTCATCAAACCATGCTGTGGTGGCATCCCATATACCAGGTAGAGGAAGATGGGCACAGATGTTAGCTCAGGGACAATCTTCCTCAAACAAAAAGAGGATTAGCAACAGACGTTAGCTTGGGACCAATCTCCCTCACCGAAAAATTGTAAAAGACCCAACAGGATTGCACCCGGACCCTAACACTAAGAACTCAAGGTGTGGTGTCTGTGTCAGTAGGATAGGAGCTGGACAGAACTACACAAAGTGCATGCTCTTCACCTCTGCTTTGTCACTTCAGTATTTGTCTTGAAGAGTTCTATTTCCATGCCAGAATAAATGCTACATGTTGATGGAAACAAGTTATTTGTACTCAAACACAGGGAAATGGTAGAGATATTGAGGTAGACGTGTACACAGTCTGTCAAAATGGAGCTTCAATCGACCATGTTTCAGCCGTTCAGCCTTCACGTGCAGGGGCTGTGTGCACCCCTGCAGGGATCGGCCGGCACAAAGGCCACAGGGTCAAGACACCGTGGGCTTTGAAAGCACAGCTTTTCTTTTTGCTTAAACTTATCCCAGAGCATTTTTTAAGAGATTTTTTCTGAGTCTTGAAAGGTTTTCTAATAAATAATTTTGAAGGTCAAACCCAATCAAATAATTCTAAACAACATGAATAAACTTCCCCATAGGGAACCATTCCTATTCTTTTTTTCTTTTTCTACATTTGCGAAGTTTGCAGTTTCTCAGAGAACTTTTGGAACTGTCTCCTCTTGTCATCTTCACAGGCAACGCCGAGAGCTAGATATAGTGGCAGCACACACCAAGCTTATAGACAGGAACAGGCGTTAAATGCGTAATTGATTTTTCTAATCTGATTTTGCTTAACCATGGTCAATTACTTTCCTGTGTCACTAAAACATTAAACGACGTCAATTCTAAAATAACCTTTAAATCTCTAACTTCGGGCTACAACTTCTATTTCTAGCTACAGCTTTCCAAAGTTTTCCGCTTTTAAATAATACAGATCATTTTGCACTTGACAGTACTTCTGACCAGGACCAAATTCTGTGTATCTACTCACACACACATATGTCTGATTTATGTAATCTTATTCTCATCCTTTTAAGGGCTTTCTTCTCACTTTACTCTAGTTTCCACATTTTCTGGCGTTGCTTTTCCATAACACATATTAATTTCTGAAACAACATGCAGTTTCGTCCAACATGCCTTCTCCCTTCTCTTCTCTTCTGTGATTGAGAGCTCCTGTCCTCACCTGCTGGGGGGCTTCTGTCCTCTGTCTATTGTCCCCAGAGCCCTGGACTTCCTGGCGTCCGGGGTCCGACCTTCCCACATTCAAACAGTGGGAATGGACGCTGTTTGTAGTAAATGACAGCTTGGAGCTTGCCAAAATTTACTTTGGAAAGTTAGTGTTGGAAATAAAAGCAAAGACTGTGATTTCTAATCTTCATGCCAATTATTTACTTAATAAATGAACTAGAAAGGGCCTCGGAGATCCTGGGAATGACCTCACCATTTAATCTAGTTCCATGAGTCCTCAGCTCGGAGCCTGTTCAAATGCACTTCCTTCCTTTTGCATAGAGGGGTTTAAAACCAGCCTGTTCCAACGACTCCCAATAGTGAAAGGATTCTCTATGGCAAGGGAAGTATAACCTAGGGACCTCATTTTTCAGAAAGGTGTTTTAAGGCGCAGGAAGTTAAACTCAGAGTCCAGAGTCAGCATCTAATATACTGTAAAGATGGGACCAGAAATGGGGGCCTCGTTACTTCTAGTCACATTGCCTTAGAAGTATGAAATGTATTTACATATTCATATGCATGTGGTGGCTCTAAGAACTAGGTACTATCTTGGAACATGAAGGAAAAAAATATGTATGTATACACACACATATAGTAGTGGGTTGAATAGTGTTCCCGAAAAAGATATGTCCAAGTCCTAACCCCCAGAACATGTGAATGCCATCTTATTTGAAAAGAGTCTTTGCAGATGTAATTAAGTTAAGGATCTCAAGATGACATCATCCTGGACCTAGGTTGGACCCTAAACCCAGTGACAGGTGTCCTTATAAGAGAAAGGCAGAGAGAGATTTGAGAAATGCAGACACAGGGGAGAAGGTGATGTGAAGACAGAGGCAGAGACTGAGTGATGTGTCTACAAGCCAAGGAACACCAGGGATCGCCGGCAACACCAGAGGCTGGGAGAAGGGCCCAGGATGGCTTCTCCCTCAGAACCTCCAGGAGGAACCAAATATGGTTTTGGACTTTCGGTGCTCTTTCCTGGGTTGCCAGATTATTCCATGCTCTCCCAGTAAAAGTCATCTCTTTGAGCTTCTCTCTTTAAATTGCAAAAAGGTAAATGCCAAGATTTTAGTGGCATTGGCTCTGTCTTCCATCACGAGCAATGATCACGATGGTGTGATGGTGGCAGACTCCAGGTGTGGAAGGAGGGGAACTGGAAAGAAATCAAAAGCTTGCAAAGAGCAGACCCAGGAAGGAGGATCTCCAGGTGTGTCAGCCACACCTGAAGGTGACCCCCCCCATGTGTCACACTCTGGTACAATCCCCACCCCATGATAAGGAGTAAAGCAATACAATATGGTGAAGATATGGGCTCTCACCCCCGATTATGTTACATTATATGGCAGGAATGAAGAGATGAGCCTGGGCCTTCCCTGAAAAGATAGATTCTCCTGCTGGCCTTGAAGAAGTGAACCGCCAAGTTGTAAGGGGGCCATGTGGCAGGAGATTGCAGGGGTCTCTGGGAGGTGAGAGCAGCCCCCAGCTGACACCAACAACAAATAGGGGCCCCAGTCCTACAACTGCAAGGGACTAAATTCAGCCAATAACTTTCTGGACTTGGAAGAAGACCCTAAGCTCCAGAAAGGGACACAGCCCAGCTGACATCTCTGTGAGACGCTGAGCAGGGGACCCAGTCAAGCTGAGCCTGGACTCCTGACCCACGCAGAGTGAGCCAACAGCTGCATGTTATTTTAACTGCTAAAAGTCACACAGCAGCAAAAAACTAATATATCAGCAAACCTGCCCCTGCCCAGAGACAGTGAACTCAGTGGTGAAGAGAGGGTTCCAGTAGAGGCTGATGGGCCTGTCCTCGCCCAGATGTTTAGTTGTGGTTTCTTTTGGGCTCTTGGTCACTGTCTTGGTTTCCTGGGGTTGCCATAACAGATCACCACAATCTAAGTGGATTACAACAACAGAAATTTATTCTCTCTCAGTTCTAGAGCCTGGAAGTGAAGATCGTGGTGCGGGCTGGGCCGTGCTCCCTCTGAAGGCTCCAGGGGAGGATCCTTCCTGCCTCTTCCAGCTTCCAATGGCTCCTGGCATTCCTTGACTTGTGGCCACATCACTCCCATCTCTGCCTCCAACTGTGTCATATCTCCCTCTGCCTTTCTTGTAAGGGCGTGTGTCATGGCATCTAGGGCCCAGCTAGATAATCCAGGATGAGCTCCTCATCTCAAGAACCTTAATTTAATTACACCTGCGAAGACCTTCTTCTTAAATAATGTCACATTCCCAGGTGCGGAGAGTTAGGATATGGACATATCTTTGAGGGAGTCACCATTCAACCCACTCTCGGTGTCATTGTCAACGTGGAAATTTGCATGCCTGCCCATATCCCAGTTCTGGCTGCCATTGACTCTAGGGCAAAGCCCTCCCTCCTCTGTGGTCAAAGAGGAGACCCTCTCGGGAGAGCGCTGACCATGCCATGTCCTCCAGGAGCATCGCACCTCCATCATGGAAGCCCAAGCTCGGCTCTACCTTCACCATATTCCCAGTCCTGGGGTGGGGACGGGG